TTGCCACTTTCAACCCCACCCTCCTTTTGTGGGGAGGTTGTTTTTTTATTTGTGCCACACCTGTTTGTGTTCAGGTCTTACTCCTGGCTCTGTGATTAGGAAGCACTTCTGGCAGGTGTGGGGGACCATGTAAGATGCAGAGGATCAAAACCGAGCGAGTGCAAGGCAAATGCCCTGCCCACTGTACTATATCTCTCCGGCCCTTTTCAACCCCTTTTTACCAGAGAAATTTTTACACAATCCCAGGTAATTAAAATAGGTATACAAATCAAATATTTACTGATAATAAATCATAAAGTTTTTTATTTATTAATGTATTTTGCTTTTTGGGTCACACCTGGCACTGCCCAGGGGTCACTCCTGGCTCACGCACTCAAGAATTACTCCTGGCAGTGTTCAGGGGACGATATGGGATGCTGGGAATCAAACCCGGTTCGGCTGCATGCAAGGCAAACACCCTACTCGTTGTGCTATCACTCCAGTCCCTCATAAAGATTTTTTAATGTTTCTTTGGTAAATACATTTTTTTTACTATTTATTAAAGACTAAATTGATTTTGCATACTGAGATAGTTTTTTAGTATGCTTGTATTAAAAAATGTTTTTAAGTTTTTGTTCTACCACTTTAATTATTAAAGAATTTGAAAATAAACTAATTGGCTAACAATATTGAGCTGATCCTATAATCAGTATATGCATATTCTATAATAAAATATAATAGGAAATATTTATTTAAAGATAGCATTTATGGGGCTAGAGAGTGCAGCAGATAGGGTGCTTGCCTTGCACATAGCCAACCCAGAATAAATCCTCTGCATCACATATAGTCCCCCAGAGCCCCGCCAGGAGCCATCAAGTCAGGAGTATGCCCTGAGCACTGCTAGATGTGGTCCTGAAACCAAAACAAACAAAAAAAGACGGGAGGGAGAATAGGAAGAAACATAAACCAAAAAAATAGCATTCATGAGTTCTGGTTTATTTTTATATAAGAGAATTTTTCATAAACTGTAAGAGCAGAACATTTTGCACATATAGTAAAAACTATTATTTGGGGCAGAGAGACAATAAAGAAGTTAAGGCGCACACAAGGCATGAGTTTGACCCGGTTCAGTTCTTGGCACCACATGCCTCCCGAGGTGATGCCCTAAAGGACCATGAGCACCACAAGGGTGGCCCTGTTGGACCCAGCACCACCTGGCCTGAGCAGCAACACATCCTCCAGTTTCCAGCACTGAAATGTTAGCCTGCCTGACCAAGTAACACCAGAGGTGTTCAGGGTCTCCTAAACACAGCCTGAGAGTCACCCTCACCCCCACTAAATGCTGCAGTTCCTAATATACAATAGTCCGCAGTCTGAGCCTTGTGCTGTGGCAGTGTGATTGGTGTTTCCACAGCACTGCAAGTGCAATGCAGAGAGTGCGGGTGGGAGGGGGTTTGGAACCAAAGTTGCGGAGAAGTCATACAATGCCAACACAGGGGGACACTGCCAGAAGCACCTCAGATTCATTATGCAGTTGATTCTCAAATAATTTTTGGTCAAAAAACCTTTTACTGTTGCCAAAGTGTTCACCAATCCATCCCATCTCCCACCCCCAACACAACATTCAGTTCCGCTATCCCACATGGGGCCGTGACCCAAAATTTCAGAAACTTTTGACGAAGTCTGTCTGGCTCACTCTCCCTCTCGCTTCCTAGGTCTCTGTTCAAAGACTTCATTCTAGGATGCTGGGTAAAGAGCCCAAGTGGTAAAGCATATGCCTAGTCTGTTCAATACCCAGCACCGCATGGCTGTCTATATACATTGTGGCCTCCAAGTCCCCAAACCTTAGCACTCAGTACAGACCCTACAAAATTTTGTTTTAAAAAACAAATGTGGGGGCTGGAGCAATAGCACAGCGGGTAGGGCGTTTGCCTTGCACGCAGTCGACCTGGGTTCGATCCCCGGCATCCCATATGGTCCCCCAAGCACTGCCAGAGGAATTCCTGAGTGCAGAGCCAGGAATAACCTCTGAGCATCGCTGGGTGTGACCCAAAAAAGCAAAAAATAAAAAATAAAAAAAATAAAAAATAAAAAACAAATGCAAAACCAGGAGATGTAGCTCAGCAGTAGAGCTCTTGCCTTGCATGTGTGAGGTTCTGGGTTCCGTCCCTGGTACCACAAAAGCAAAAAATATCATCCTTTTTATTTGTTTGTCTATTTGTTTGGGGGCTATACCCTGCAATGCTCATTGCTTACTCCTAGCTCTGCACCCAGAGATCACTCCTGGCAGAGCTTTGGGGACCATATGAGATAACATGGATCAAACCTGGGTTGGTTGCATGCAAAGCAAGTGCCCTACCCGCTGCATTATCACCACCCCCCACTCCCACCCCAAGTGTCAACATACTAAGAAAGCTTTCTGGTTTCATTGCTAGTGTTATTATTAGTTTTTCCTCTTCTTTATATTATAGTTGCTAATATATTATCCTTCCGTACAGAGTGCTGCACTCACGCTTTATGTTTCACAGCAAGGACAAAAAGTCCATTTTAAATTTCTAGCCACTTTTCAAGCTCCCTCACCCATCCTGCAGAAAACTGAAAACTGAGAGTTTTGTCTCCTTGGGCTCTCCCACAGACAGAGCCAGCCAGCTCAGTCCTGGAGAGGTTCTACATCACTCCTGGACACACCCAGACAGCACTTGAAGAACTCCACCAGCCTCAGCTCACAATCCAAACTTCTCTCCTCCTAAAACAACCCGTCTTCCCTTTGCCTCAGCGAAATAAAACTAACTTTCAAAGTCTGTCTCAGTCATGTGATTCTTCCCCAGGCTAGAGCAAGAACCCACTAACACGGAGATTCTTCCATGACAGTATCAAATGAAATGGTTAAGCAGCCCCTTGGCGCACACTCTGATGCTCTGCTGGCCTCCCGAACACAGCACCGTTAGTCTTCTATCTAGTTAAGTATTTCCTGGGTTATTAGCTCTCAAGTAGAGTGAAAGCTTTCCAGATCAGGGGCTGAATGAAATGAACAAATAAAAGCATAGGTGAAAATAAAGACTGTACCATGAGCAAACCAGCCCTCATACATGACTGCTCTCTTGCAGTGGAATCCCATGGTTTGGTTTCTTCAACAAAACTAGCTCATCAGAGTTCTAGTTCCATAGCCTATGAAGCCTTGCACAACACAGAGGACACAGAATCAGATATACCCAAGATGATAAGCTGCTCACATTGTTTTAGAGCTGGAATCATATGAGATCAAGGTAAAGGTGAAGAATAAACACGAAAAGATGGCAGTCTTCTCAAAATATTAGTGAAACAATACACAAAGGCTGTTTGTGAACACGTAGAGGGTTATATGTTATATGTGTAGAGTGACAAGATTTCAATTTCTAGACAGTTCTCTTCTTGAATACTGAGCTATGGAAACTGATGTCACTTTATTTACTTGCATGAAGTAATAAGCAATCAATGTGTTATATAATTAATATGCTTGAAAACTCAATTGGACACTAACCCAAGACAAATCCTGGGCTATGTTAACCTAAGAGATTTATCCAAGTCCTTAACAGTTTTCAAACTCTTCATTCTCTTGTCTTTGCAGGCAAGTTTAGTTTAGTTCGTGCCTTTTATTCATTCGAGGACGAGTTATCATTAGTTTTCTTGCCTCCAGTTTTGCTATTGCTCAAATTGTTTCTCCACCCAACTCGTCAAAAATGTAAATCTGACCAGTCACATCTTTGCTTAAAAGTTCCTCGTGAGTCTCTCTATGGATATATTCATGGCCCCCTGGATGCTCACCCCCAAAAGCTTTCCCCAGCTTTCCTCAACCTTTAAGTAAAGTTCCCAGTTCTTCATAGGTATACAAAAACCCTTCGTAATCATGACCTTAACTCTATCCCTATTATTAAAAAATATACTCTTCTACTTTTTTTTTTCTTTTTTGGGTCATACCTAAAGATGCTTAAGGGTTACTCCTGACTCTGCACTCAGGAATTACCCCTGCTTGGGGGACCATATTGGATTCCGAGGATAGAACCCAGGCAAACGCCCTACCCTCTGTACTATTGCTCCAGGCCCACTCTTCTACTTTTGATGCCTTCAACATACACTTTTTTGGGGACCCGTGTTTTCGTATCTACATTTTTTCTCTGTTTTGATATTAATTCTATAACTTGGTTGCCCAGCAAGTGTCTTTTAATTCTTCAGAGCTGCCATAACTATAAGGTGGAGCGATAGCGCAGCGGGTAGGGTGTTCGCCTTGCATGCGGCCGACCTGGGTTTGACTCCTTGTCCCTCTTGGAGAGCCCGGCAAGCTACCAAGAGTATCCTGCCCGCACGGCAGAGCCTGGCAAGCTACTCGTGGTGCATTCAATATGCCAAAAACAGTAAGAACAAGTCTCACAATGGAGACATTACTGGTGCCTGCTTGAGCAAATCAGTGAACAATGGGAGGACAGTGCTACAGTGCTACAACTAAAGGCTTGGTTATTTGTATATATTGCCTTGTATATCCTCTATTTACAAAAAAACTATATAAAGAGATTTTAAGTATTAGAGTTATAAATACGCCATAAAATTACATAAGAGAGGCAGGAGAAATAGTGTAAGGGCTGAGCATATGCTTTGCTCATGGGAGGCCTGGATACCCAGTACCACAAGGTCCCCGAGAACTAATCCAGGTCCAGTACCATAAGGTCCCCGAGAACTAATCCAGGACCAGCTCCCGAAAATCACTGGGTATGACCTGAAAACAAAACAAAACGTAACAAAACAGAATTTTATTTATAAAATAAATTAAAGTTCCGCTCTTCCATCCAGCGGCTGTGGCTCCCGCCTTGACCCCAACCTCCGCCCCCAGGCTCGACTGGCAGCACTCGCCCCCCCAGCCAGGTACTGGGGTCGGACGCGAGAGCTCGTGCCTAAGTAGAGATCAAATCTGACTGGAGACATTCAAGCAAGAGCTGGATAACTACTTTTCCAGAACATAATGGAAACACATGCATCAGAAAAGGTAACAATATACATACCAAAAGAATATTGCTGCACAAATACCAGAATCTGATCAGATAAAACAGTTTAAGGAATTTCTTGGAACATATAATAAACTTACAGAAACATGTTTTTTGGACTGTGTTAAAGACTTCACAACAAGAGAAGTAAAACCTGAAGAGACTACCTGTTCAGAACATTGCTTACAGAAATATTTAAAAATGACACAAAGAATATCCATGAGATTTCAGGAATACCATATTCAGCAGAATGAAGCCTTGGCAGCCAAAGCAGGACTCCTTGGCCAACCACGATAGAGAAGTCCTGGTCAATGGACTATCAATGAAAGATTGCCAACAGCTATGGCATTGCAAATGAGGATTCACCTGACAGAATCCCCTGAAAGCAGTAGCCACTATGTTAAACCGTCTGTCATGACTGTTTGGCACCTGGATAACCACTGGAGAAACAAAATTGCCATCTGCCAGGGATAATCAGAAGGTCTTATATGTTCATTGAAAATAATAAGATGCAACATTTGTTGAGGCCTTACAACAAATTCAGCAGCTTGGTTACTTGATTCAAAAAAATAAACCATTGTTTCGTCAGTTGTGACTGTTAATTTTAAAGCAAAATATGTGTTCAATCATGTACAAGATAGAAAATTTTTTATTACTAAAAGTAAAATAAATGGAAGCATCACCAAGCAATTGTTTATACTATAGTATAGTATTCTGACTGGACTCTGGGTACGTTGAAATGTTTTTTCAATCAGGATCATCCTCGTGTTCCTGTTCATTCATGTCTGCCTCAAATTGCTGGTAAATACATAAAATAGTTACTTGCTAATAATTCCAACCAATGCACGATCTTTTTCTTGCCTGCCTTGTTGTTAAGGGTGGACATTACACATTGTTATCTATATTTCCATCTACCTTCAGGAAACATCCAGTCTGATACTAGCATGGAATGTTTAAGAGTTGACTGTTAAAGCTTCAGTGGTGTTGTTTTGTGTTTTCAAAATCCAACATGAATAATTCCACGTCAGAACAACAATATACATTGTATTCTCAGCCACTACATGTCATTGGTGTAATAAAAAGTGAACCAAAGTTGAAGTAATATCTAAAATCCAAAAGATTGGGTAAATAAAAGTGGGGTTAATATCTAAAAAATAAATAAATAAATTAAAGTTCCCTTTCTGCCCCCAAACACAGGAAATCACTTATATAAAAGAGAACTTCAAAATGAGAGCCCTGTCTCATTTTATATTCAAAAACAAACTTTAAATCAATATATACCTAATTGTTAAATATGTGTACTTTTGTAAATGTAAAGAGGAAAACTTTTTTTATTGCTCAACTTTTCATTGTTTCTGTTTTTGGGGGTCCTCCCCAGCAATGTTTGAGGTTACTTCGTGTGGCAGTGCATGAACTCTCAATCCCAACATTTGAAACATTTTCAAAATCATAAAAAGCTATAGAGGGGCCAGAGAGATAGTATAGTAGTAGAGCCTTTGCCTTGCATGTGACTGACCTGAGTTCGATTCCCAGCACCCCAAGCACCTCCGAGAGTGATCCCTGAGCCCAAGATCAGGAGTAAATCCTGAACACAGCTGGGTGTGACTTCAAAAGCAAAAGAACAAAAGACAAACTGACATGTATGTGGGAAAACAATAAGAATAATTGGTGCAAAGGTAGCATAGCAGATACGATGCTTGCCTTGTACATGACCAACTCAGGTTTGATTCCTGGCACTGATTATGGTTCCCCAAGTCCGGAAAGTCATTTAGTCCTAAGTACCACCCAAATTAAGGGAAGAATGAGAAGGTAACTTGCCTAAGGCTAATTCACTGGAGAGGGGTACAGCCAGAGTTTGAAGTGTGTCACAAGTCTACCAAGCCCAAGCTACTTAATCTTGTGTAACTAAATGTGGAATTTGAAAACACTCACACGTCTAAGGTTTCTGAATGCATAATGGCCAAAAGTTAATTCAAAATCAACCACATAATAAATTCAAGGTGCTTCCAGCAGTGGTCACTTGTGTTGCATTTCTCTGGCAAAGAGGGGTAGTGAGAAGGAAAAGTTTAAGTAGCCTGACCCTACACCCAGGGTTTTAACTGCCAGTCTTTGTGCTACTTCAGGTTCACAGTTATTTAAAGTTTAAAAACTGCTCCCTTCGATTAGCCCAAGGTTTGGCAACTCTTTAGGGGACTCAGTTTCCCATGCAGTGGTGCTTAAGGCTGTTGTTCACTACAGTGAAAGAAGAAGAGTAGCTATGTCTGAGGCCAGGGATCAGATATTACATAGGGAAACGGTCCATGGGGCAATATCTGCCACAGTTTCAAAATTTTTCTCCTGGTGAAGTCATATTGGGCTTCCTTAACTCTCCCAGCAAGAGCTATAATGACACTCAAACTGTCTTCAAAAGACGCTCAGTAGAAATTCAAGGCCAGTGTGTTCTGCTACTCAAATTATCTCCCCAGGTTCCCCACCCGACTCTCCAATCCCCGCAGGGTTCATTTTTGTTGGGGTTTTTCAGGGGTGGTGGGGTTGGCAGGGTGGGTGGTCAATACTAGATCTGGTCACCCTCTGTGATGCTCAGGGCTTACTCCTGGCTCTGTGTTCAGGATCACCCCTGGAAACACTCAGGGACCATATAGGGTGCTGGGGTCAGCTGCGTACAAGTCAAGCATCTTAATCCCTTTATTAAAAACCAGGGGGCTTTTTACTGGGAGCTCTCACCCTCTACCAAGCACATACAACAATTCCAGATTCCAATGAGGAAAGCAGGTGGTCAATATAAACCCCAGGGTTTGTGCAACCAGCTTAAATAGTGAGTTCTTCCTCAGCTGGGCAATGGGCAACATACTGTAATGCAAGTTCCTAGATGCCCTTCAAGGGTAGCCCTGCCAGGCCTGGACATTTCCTTTTCTCTGCATAGTATCCAGCCAATCATCTCAACTCTGTGCCATAACAACTGTTTATACTGGGTCCGGGATCTAGTTCAGGGTAGGACACATGTCTTAATGTGTGAGGCCCTGGGTTTGACTCCCTGGCACCACAAAAACATAGAAAAAAATAACTATTTGCTGTTACCATTCTATTTTTAGTCACAAAAATCAGAGGAAGTGCCAGAGAGATAGTGCAGTGAGTTAAGTGCTTGCCTTAAATGCATTTAACTGGGTTTCACTCCTGGCACCCCATATGTGCCCCCAAGTTCTGCTAGGAGTGATCCCTGAGCACAGAACCAGGAGAAAGTCCCAAATACCACCAAGTGTGTCCCCCAAACCAATCAACCAACCAATCAACCAACCAAAAAAACCCCAAAAGCTGAGGAAGACCTTTAATATTTTACATGGTAGGGGATAGTTACATTAACTGATACAGTCATACAAAGACAACCAATGAATTCCTTAACATAATAAGTTAGAAGGCAGGCTGATACATAAATAAAGAATATGATCCCTGGGACACTGAAATAGAGTGCATATTAGAATACAAGGTTTGGGGTTTGAACCTATCAGTCATTTCCTACATCTTTCATACCAAAGAACTCTGGGGTCATGACAATGGTGGAAAGTCATACTATTCTTAGCTCAGGAATAAATCTAAATTACACGGACTAAGCCAATCATGGAGATTCCATTTTCCTTGTTGGTGACTGTTAGGGATGATATATGACTGCTTCTGAGACGTGGGGAAAAGCTTTCTTGCTTGTACAGTTTTGTACCAGAAATGAGACCTTCTTCTTCCACTTGGCTTTGACCTCTTGGTTCCACTGCTAGAGCAAGAACAACAAGCTTGAGATGGTGAATGGTAAAGGGTCAGACAGCCAACTCAACATTCTTAGAATGGTAGACCAGAAGATAGAAAGAACCTGGTTCCTCAGTGACATTACCAAGCCTTCAAATTTTACAACTGTTGAGTCACTTCCTTTTGTTTTGTTATACAACATGGTATACTTCCTCCATGTGGAAGCCTAGCTGTATTAGATATTATCTGACCCAACATCTATTTTTGTTTTTATAATTAAGGAAATCAAATGCAGAAATTAAGTTACCTTGCCCAAGGATATATAGATTAAAAGTAAAGTGCTAGAATTTAATTCAGCATGTTGCCTTTAAAGCACTTCTTCCTATTCGATTCTGGCCCTAGTAGAATTTGGACACAATATCTTTAAAAAGGTGGCAATTCAATAACTATAAACTGTGAGAAATTATAAATCATAAAAGTGGGAGAGAATAGAATCATTCTTAAACTGTAGCACTGTAGCACTGTCCTCCTGTTGTTCATCGATTTGCTCGAGTGGGCCCAGTAACGTCTCCATTGTGAGACTTGTTGTTACTGTGTTTGGCATATCGAATACTTCACGGGTAGTTATACTTTACACTAGACTTTGCTGTGCGGGCGAGATACTCTCGGTAGCTTGCTGGGCTCTCCAAGAGGGGCAGAGGATTCGCAGAGGAATCAAACCCGGCTCGGCCGACCAGCCACAAGCAAGGCAAATGCCCTACCGCTGTGCTATCCACAGCTTAAGTATGAATAACCCCGTTGTAATATAAATGGAAGAAGAATAAAATATGATCACAGCAGTGTAAATTTCTAAATATAAAACTTCCCTCTTTGTACCTGTGTCAGCTACTGATTCACTAAGTGAGCATGCAAGGCCAGGTCTCAGAGTCGGAGAGCTCTTATCCACACTCGCTGGGTGCTTGGTATAAATAATAAAGTAGGTTTATAGCATGTGTGGCTCTTTATGTTGTCTCATCTATAAAACTCCTTTCGAGAGTTCAGTAGCAGAAAACCCACTCAACTACACAAGGAAGCTTGCTTTTGCCATGCTCCTGACTCAGTTATGGAAGCTCTTCCACCAACCAGCCCCACCAGTGCCGTGGCGTCCCTAGCATCCCTGACTCATGTGGTTTGATCTTGCCCCTACTATAGGTCTCCTCTCAAAAATGTCTGTGTCTAATTTGGATTCCCAACACACCAAAAACTGCCTCCCCCAGCTTGGCAATGATACTAATAATCTTCCTAGCAGTATTACTGCTGAGATAGATGTTTGGAAAGATAATCACCATAGTGCGATACTGGTTATTTCTGAGAGGGGGTGTTTTGGATCATGCTTTAATTTTGTGTTGTTATACATAATATGAATTTTAAAAGATATCATGCATTAATTGTTTTAATAAAACCAATGTTTTTATTAGCAAAAATTATTGCCTGGGTCCAGAGAGATATTCAAAAGTCTTAAGTGTCATGTCTGCTTGGCATGTGAAAGGCCTACATTTAATCCCCAGTACCACATGTTTCTCTGTGAAACATCAAAAGCAACCCCTGAGTACATAACCAAGATCACTGGGCCTGATCACTGCCAAATGTATCCCCCAAGCACCCCTCCCCCCCAATATTATCAAAAAACAATTAAGTGGTTTTATGCTGGCCGTAACAGAAGGTAAACTGTTCCATGCCTCAGAGGGCTTTGATTTCTTTGGTATATAAGTCATATTCAGTATCTTTTTTATAGATGACACTTTTCGAGCTTCCCACAGTCTAAGGAAGGGGATAACTTTCACCTTCTTGGAACGCAAGTGGCTAACTTGCTGAACAGAGATGGGGCTCACACCAGGCAAAGCAAGAGGAAATTGAACAGTGAAAAAGATGAAAGGAGAGTAGCACAATTTAGTGGCAAAATTGGAAGAAAACTTTCTCAGGCAAATAATGTATACACTGGCCTAAAAAGCATACTCCTGTGGTGGTGATAGTGTCAAGAATTGGAGAGGGTCTGTAAGGACAGACGGCAGACCCAGGTATCCAGGGACCTGGAGATCAAGCAGGGACAGACTGAAACAGCACAAGGGTCCTTCATGAAGTGAACTATATTCTAAAGCTCAGTTGTTCGCCAGGAATGCAACTTAGTCCCTCTACTGAAACATCACTGGATTGTACATTTGAAAAGGGTGTATTTTATGATCTATAA